TACAATATTTCACGGCATGGTCCACTCTCCAGACCCCATTGAAAATATAAGAAACCATCAAATTAATAATGCTTATAAGTATAAACCACTAACCAAAGGTCCAAGACGCATGTAGAGGTTCTATTACCTATCCCAAAATTAAAATACTACACTTTAAAGTTAATATTATTACTCCATTCAGGTTTGCTGGTTTTTCTTTCATTTCGCAGATCTACAAGAAGTCGTTTCATGAAGACATGGGTGGCTTTGATCATGTTCAGGAATTAATTTGGTGCAGCTCATGTGATTCGCTGTTTACGTTGGCGTGAATTTGAGGATCGATCGATAAGCGTCTTAGCACACCATTCAGTTGGATGTTTTCGTGAAACCGATCCTGCAGGCTGTAGAGCTCCATTATCCCATGTGACCTATCGCTAACATAAGTGTGGGCTGAAGTATACTTCCATTCTAAGTACTTCTGGAGTTTACCATCTTTTGCCAACGATGTTGTTGCGCGGAATGGAACCACTGTTCATTAGTTGGATTAAAAAACTGGGTTCAATGTGGTTCACAAAAGTCGCCAAACGAGTTGGAATGTCAGAAATGTTTACTGTTGGTGGATGTCGTAACGATCTTAGTAAATCCTGAGGACCCTCGCTCTAACAACAAAGATAATTGTATAAAATAATGTTATGTGGACAGGCACCGGATGCCCAATCACCTAAAAAACAGCATCAGCAAATCGTCATTTTCATAATTTCACTAACTAATCTCTCCAAAATACTACAAAGAGTGATTAATGAATACATGCTTGATCTCATCGAGATATGGAGACCACGCAATAATAAGGCATGCATACAAACATTTGTCATTTTCTCATTGTATGTAGTTTGTTTAATTATTATTAAAGTCTGGAAAGAAAAATACTTTAAAATAAAGTAGGTCAAGTTTATATTCACGAAAAGTTCCCCAGATCTTTGTGAATAATTATATATAATGTTCTGGTACGGTGAGTTTTTTTCCTTAGGAACCCCACTGATTGGTGTTTGGTTAGACGAGAGCCTTGTTTAAACCCCACTGAACCACGCAGTTTCTCCAGTTTATACGTTTACCTATAACCCACTCACCTCGGCGGCTCGTAACCACTTTTTGTATGTTATCATTTTAAAAACATATACGATATTATTGTTCTTATTTTTTGTCAAGATCTGAATTGGCGACTAATTAATCCGTATTTTACGCCGGCTTCCGTGGGAAGGAGGCTGATTAGTGCTCTTTCCGATTCGTTAAATTTACCATATTTTTGGATGACATTTGAGTAATATCGACACAGGACTAGTGTATAAATAAAAGAAATACGAAGTTTTTCCTTGTGAATTACTCGCGACCATTACCTGAAGTGGCATCAATATATTGTACTATTATATTAGTAGGACACATTGAAAATGAACCCCATTTTACACGTGAAGTAAGAGCTCCACCATTAAATTTGCATTGAGAAGAAATTATCCAAAATTCTTAAAATTGTAAGGTAAATGTGCTCAATACAATTATTACTATCAATTCAATTCAATTCAAATTCGTGATTATGATTGAAAATTGAAGAAACAAATGTTGTCACTTTTCGTCAAGATCAAGGGAAACTAAATAGTCCCCCTTTCAATGGACAAGGAGCCTGTTCAGGCCCCCTTTCCGTTTTTGAATTGTTGCTGCATGCTTTCACACGGAGAATTAAATAAGAATACTTCTAGTCTCGGTTATTGAATGAAATTGCCTAAATTTCAGAAAGATTGATAAAATACACCCTTTCGATAATTACGTCACAACTACACCGTTTTCAACTTAGGACCACCTTAAATGGAAAGGATTTCAAGCTTTTTTCTCATGGGCTTTGCACAGAGAAGCAAAACATCCTTCAACGCAAGCATGAAAAAGGATTCTTTATTTTGAGCAATAATTGTGGAAATAAGCTTTAACACGAAAACGAGGCTCCATGACCTGGAGCCTCGTTTTCGTGTTAATGCTCATTTCCATTTATTGATCAAAATCCAAAATTGTTTTTCGCACATGTGTTGAAGAAGGATGTTCTGTTTCTCTTTGCATAGCCCATGAGAAAAAAAGCTTGAAATCCTTTCCATTTAAGATGGTCCTATTGTCCCTTCGTTGATTTTTGGAAAACTTAGCCTATTGGAAATGGATATTTTCAAATGACTCCAAACTTGGTGGGGGGTTGCCTAGGGGTGCCCTACATACCCCATAGAGGTTTGGGTCCTAACCCCCTTAAGGGGGCCCTGCTACGTACAATTCGTCAAAAAAAATCAACGAAGGGACATCATTGCTATCTCCGTCCGGTTAAGTCCGACCTGGGTTCTGATAAGCGGGTTATGTACCATTTGAGGCCCTTATTAACATACTAAAAGCCCCAAAATTTCATTAGCTAGGAAAATTTGGTGTAGCCAAAAAAATGAGGGAGGTGTTTTGTGTAGCGAGGCAGTTTTTTACCTAAACCCATGATGACTTCAAGGACATGCAAAATAGGTATGAAGATGAAACTTTGGTGGTATATACAGTTTTTTACGCTGATCAACGCCCTCTATTCAGATTTTGGGGGAAAAAATCCGGGGGGTGAACAATTGTTTTTTCTACACCCCACCCCCCCGGAATGGGTAGGGTTGATATCGGATCATAGAGTGCCCGACGCTCGTTCGAATGGTATATGGCTCATCAAAATTGGCCAAAGGGAACATATTTTTTTTTCCGTTTAAATGTGTTTTCGGCGAGTCGAAATATGGCGAATTTGATCTAGCTCCCCCCGGTTTCAATTTTTTCTGCTCAAATTTCATGGCAAGAATGGGTATGTGTTCTGTATTACGCTTGCCAAATTTGCAGACAAGCGACTGAATTGTCAGGTCACAATACACAAAAGAACCTCTTTACACCTCACGCTTCAGAACGAGGCTATTTTGGTCTAAATTTCTGGTCGAGTATCCTTTGTCCCATGTTATTTCTTGACAAGTCGACCGCTTTAGTAACTATTTAAAACACAACATTTCACCTGCTTTATGTTTTTTTGGAAATCAGCCAAGAAAATTTACTAGTTGTCACGTCATTTTTTGTGCGGTTTGCCACTGGCACAAAAGACTAACGTGCCCTTAGTCCTTTCACGAAATTTGAACAGATTTCATTAAAACGCGTGGTAGGGTGTTGTCTCTGAACATGTTCCCAAACGCAAATTGTTTTTTACGTTCGCGAAGCTTGCTGGGACGGATTTTAATATTTTCCGCTATAATCACGACAGTTCGGTTAGTTAGACCGAGACCTTTCATACGACACCTTGTTGAGCGTTTTTGAGCAATTTTTCGTTAACCGTTAATAACGGCCCAGTGACACCTTAAGTAACGAAACCACGCCCATGCCACCAATCAGTTGTCGCCGCTCTATCAGTTGTACAATTTTCAGCTCTTTACACAAACCGGAAGTGGACTTAATTGTTATCCGATTGGCGGATTTGGAGTTATTTGCTCCAGTACATGTTCTTTTAAGTTACTGGCACGTGATACAGAAGCCCTACGCCCTGTACTAACTTTTTTGTTAATATATGTTAAACAAAAAATAGGTTCTTCGTGGTGAAAACGCGTCCAGAATGTTTTTTTTGGGCGAAAAACCAGATTTTTCAAGTTTGCATTAGGGATTTTCACTATCAAGAATGTATATTTCTTAAATATACATTACCAATACCTATTCTACTACAACATAGATATACTGAGAAAAAAAAATATTGGGCCACATGTCTTTCCTTGTGAGGAAACGCCCTTCGAAAATGGCATATTTTCACTTTTCGGGACGCGTTTTCACCATGAAGAACCTATTTTTTTTTAAAGATATTTTATGTAATAATGCGCAGGGAGTTTATCTATGATATCTAATCTTCAAAAATTAATTTTATTGCCGGCAAGTGTGAAAATCGAAAAATGTCACTTATCACCCCCCGGTTTAATTTTCGTTCACTCAGCGCTTGTGGAAGGAATGGCTATAGGCCTTGGATCATACTGACCAATCTTGAAACGAATTCACCAAATTCCAAGCTCACAATCCACAAAAACGTTAATTGACCTGGAGATTTTTTTAGCCAAAAAAATGGGGGAAATGTTTCACAGACCTACCCTGATCTTATTTTACCAAAACGCTACGAAGACTTCAAACAGTTCCAAGATAGCTATGGACATAAAACTTTGGTGGTATATAGAGTTTCGTACGCTGATCAACGCCCACTAATCAGATTAAAAAAAATAAAATCCGGGGGGTGGGTGAACAATTTTTTCCCTTCCCCCCCCGGAATTGGTAGGGTTGATATTTATTTTTAGCTAGAATTATAGAGTGTCCGACGCTCGTTCGAATGATATATGTCTCATCAAAATTGGCCAAAGGGAACATATTTTTTTTTCCGTTTAAAGGTGTTTTCGGCGAGTCGAAATATGGCGAACTTGATCTAGCTCCCCCCGGTTTCAGTTCTTTCTGCTCAAATTTCATGGCAAGAATAGTTATGTCTTTTGTATTATGCTTGCCAAATTTGCAGACAAGCGACTGAATTATCAGGTCACAATAGACAAAAGAACCTCTTTACACCTCACGCATCAGAACGAGGCTATTTTGGTCTGAATTTCTGGTCGAGTGTCCTTTGTCCCATGTTACTTCTTGACAAGTCGACCGCTTTAGTAACTATTTAAAACACAACATTTCACCTGGTTTATGTTTTTTGGAAATCAGCCAAGAAAATTTACTAGTTGTCACGTGATTTTTTGTGCGTTTTGCCACTGGCACAAAAGACTAACGTGCCCTTAGTCCTTTCACCAAATTTGAACAGATTTCATTAAAACGCGTGGTAGGGTGTTGTCTCTGAACATGGTCCCAAACGCAAATTTTTTTTTACGTTCGCGAAGCTTGCTGGGACGGATTTTAATATTTTTCGCTATAATCACGACAGTTCGGTTAGTTAGACCGAGACCTTTCATACGACACCTTGTTGAGCGTTTTTAAGCAATTTTTCGTTAACCGTTAATAACGGCCCAGTGACACCTTAAGTAACGAAACCACGCCCATGCCGCCAATCAGTTGTCGCCGCTCTATCAGTTGTACAATTTTCAGCTCTTTCCACAAACCGGAAGTGGACTTAATTGTTATCCGATTGGCGGATTTGGAGTTATTTGCTCCAGTACATATTCTGTTAAGTTACTGGCACGTGATGCAGAAGCCCTACGCCCTATACTAACTTTTTTGTTAATATATGTTAAACAAAAAATAGGTTCTTCGTGGTGAAAACGCGTCCAGAATGTTTTTTTGGGCGAAAAACCAGATTTTTCAAGTTTGCGTTAGGGATTTTCACTATCAAGAATGTATATTTCTTAAATATACATTAGCAATACCTATTCTACTACAACATAGATATACTGAGAAAAAAAATATTGGGCCACATGTCTTTCCTTGCGAGGAAACGCCCTTCGAAAATGGCATATTTTCACTTTTCGGGACGCGTTTTCACCATGAAGAACCTATTTTTTTTAAGATATTTTATGTAGGAATGCGCAGGGAGTTTATCTATGATATCTAATCTTCAAAAATTAATTTTATTGCCGGCAAGTGTGAAAATCGAAAAATGTCACTTATCATCCCCCCCGGTTTAATTTTCGTTCACTCAGCGCTTGTGGAAGGAATGGCTATAGGCCTTGGATCATACTGACCAATCTTGAAACGAATTCACCAAATTCCAAGCTCACAATCCACAAAAACGTTAATTGACCTGGAGATTTTTTTAGCCAAAAAAATGGGGGAAATGTTTCACAGACCTACCCTGATCTTATTTTCCCAAAACGCTACGAAGACTTCAAACAGTTCCAAGATAGCTATGGACATAAAACTTTGGTGGTATATAGAGTTTCGTACGCTGATCAACGCCCACTAATCAGATTTAAAAAAAATCCGGGGGGTGGGTGAACAATTTTTTCCCTACACACCCCCCCCCGGAATTGGTAGGGTTGATATTTATTTTTAGCTAGAATTATAGAGTGTCGGACGCTCGTTCGAATGATATATGTCTCATCAAAATTGGCCAAAGGGAACATATTTTTTTTCCGTTTGAAAGGTGTTTTCTGCGAGTCGAAAAATGGCGAACTTGATCTAGCTCCCTCCGGTTTCAGTTCCTTCGGCTCAAATTTCGTGGTAAGAATAGGTATGTGTTCTGTATTATGCTTACCAAATTTCCAGACAAGCGACTGAATTGTCAGGTCACAATAGACAAAAGAACCTCTTTACACCTCACGCATCAGAACGAGGCTATTTTGGTGTGAATTTCTGGTCGAGTATCCTTTGTCCCATGTTACTTCTTGACAAGTCGACCGCTTTAGTAACTATTTAAAACACAACATTTCACCTGCTATTATGTTTTTTGGAAATCAGCCAAGAAAATTTACTAGTTGTCACGTGACTTTTTGTGCGTTTTGCCACTGGCACAAAAGACTAACGTGCCCTTAGTTCTTTCACGAAATTTGAACAGATTTCATTAAAGCGCGTGGTAGGGTGTTGTCTCTGAACATGGTCCCAAACGCAAATTTTTTTTTACGTTCGCGAAGCTTGCTGGGACGGATTTTAATATTTTTCGTTATAATCACGACAGTTCGGTTAGTTAGACCGAGACCTTTCATACGACACCTTGTTGAGCGTTTTAAAGCAATTTTTCGTTAACCGTTAATAACGGCCCAGTGATACCTTAAGTAACGAAACCACGCCCATGCCACCAATCAGTTGTCGCCGCTCTACCAGTTGTACAATTTTCAGCTCTTTCCACAAACCGGAAGTGGACTTAATTGTTATCCGATTGGCGGATTTGGAGTTATTTGCTCTAGTACATGTTCTTTTAAGTTACTGGCACGTGATGCAGAAGCCCTATGCCCTATACTAACTTTTTTGTTAATATATGTTTAACAAAAAATAGGTCCTTCGTGGTGAAAACGCGTCCAGAATGGTTTTTTGGGCGAAAAACCTTGTACGCGTTTTCACCATGAAGAACCTATTTTTTTTTCAAGATATTTTATCACGAAATGTGCAGGGGGTCTATGTATGATATTTAATCTTCAAAAATAAATTTTATTTCCGGCAAGTGGATTAATCGAAAAATTTGACCTAGCAGCCCCCGGTTTAAATTTTTTTTGGTCAGCGGTTGTGGGAGTAATGACTACATCCCTGGGATCATACTCAGTAAATCTGAAAAGAATCGATCAAATTCCAAGGTTACAATTAACAGAAAACCTCTTTTCTCATAACGCATCAAAACGAGGCTGTTTATCGAATCAATCTAAAATTTAAATATGTTTCGTTACTCAGTGGTTAGGTAATATTTCCTAAATTTCAAACGTTTGAGAAAATGCAACAATTTCTGCCTACTCGAGTCACGCATATGCTAGTACTCTATATATCGTATATGTAGGGCTTGATAGCAAATTTGACCAGATTTACATAACCATCAGCTTTCACCCAAGCAACCTAAAATTCAAATACACTTTTTTCTCTCACTATTTACATAATATTTCCTTAATTTTAGAGAGATTGACAAAATACAACAATCTCTATCTAACCACAATCAATGGGAGACTAATTAGGCCCCCCTTCGCTGGAAAGGGAGCCTGATCAGTCCCCCCTTTTCTTGCTGCTGCTACACAAAAAATATATCAGTTAAATTGACGGAAATAACTATGCTTCTTTGACCTCGGTTATATTCTACAACATTTACAAATTTCAGAAAGATTGAGAAAATGCAACATTCTCTGCCTACTCGAGTCATTCAGATGCCAATGGCAATATAGGGTCTCTATATATCGTATATATAGGGCTTCACTGCAATATTGACCAGATTTGTATAACCATCAGCTTTTATCGATTCAGTCTAAAATTTAAATATGTTTCTTTACTCAGTGGTTAGGTAATATTTGCTAAGTTTCAGAACGTTTGAGAAAATGTAACAATCTCTGCCTACCCGGGTCATGCAGATGCTAGTGCTCTATATATAGTATACATAGGGCTTGGCTGCAATATTAACCAGATTTACATAACCATCACCTTTTATCGAATCAATCTAAAATTTAAATATGTTTCTTTACTCACTGGTTAGAAAATATTTCCTAAGTTTCAAAACGTTTGAGAAATTAAATGTAACAATCTCTGCCTACACGGGTCATGCAGATGCTAGTATATGGCTGCAATATTTGCAATTGACCATATTTACATAACCATCAGCTTTTATCGAATTAGTCTAAAATTTAAATATGTTTCGTTACTTAGTGGTTAGGTAATATTTCCTAAGTTTCAAAACGTTTTAGAAAATGTAACAATCTCTGCCTACTCGGGTCATGCAGATGCTAATACTCTATATATAGTATAATTAGGGCTTGGCTGCAATATTGACCAGATTTACATAAGCATCAGCTTTTCTCGAATCGATCTAAAATTTAAGTATGTTTCTTTACTCAGTGGTTAGGTAATATTTCCTAAGTTTCAAAACGTTTGAGAAAATGTAACAATCTCTGCCTACTCGGGTCATGCAGATGCTAGTACTCTCTATATATAGTATATATAGGGCTTGGCTGCAATATTGACCAGATTTACATAACCATCATGCAGTTTTCATCCAATCAATCTAAAATTTAAATATGTTTCTTTACTCAGTGGTTAGGTAATATTTCCTAAGTTTCAAAGCGTTTGAGAAAGTGTAACAATCTCTGCCTACTACTGTTTATTCGGTTACCAGGTAATATTTCCTAAATTTCGGAATTTAATTCTATCTACATTTCTATCGTGGAAATTAATCAATGCGAGACTAATTTCCCTCTAACTCTATCCTTCTCATTCCTGCTACAAGGAGAAGAAATAAGTCAAATTGATTGAAGTTTTGATATGAATTCCAAGGAGACAGGCCGAAGAAGATCAAATTGCCGTCTTGCCGAAGAAGATCAAATTGAATTACGAATTGAAATCTTTCAGACATTCAAGCAATTATATTATTCTTTCTTATTTAGCATTAGCTATGCCATAGTTATACTGCTGTTGACGCGCCGTCACGCGCGTTTTGTGAAATTTACGCTGGCATATAACGCTGCCACAATATCCACAGGCTGGTCGTGTTAAATTAACATAATGCCATGGTCAATCTGTGCTCTAAGTTTATAATTGAGAAGTGAAAAAGTCAACAACTCAGTAAATAATAATTCAAAATAGTATATTGTATATATATTTGAGAGTCGTCTGTAGTGCGTATGTTGTGGTTGATTCTACACAGTTCATATTACATACTGTATATACATATAAGGCCATCTATACCATATATAGTAGGGGCGCTCTCGTGCATTTGGGGTCTTCTCATGAGGGTCTTCTCAGGTACCGGTAATGCCAAGTATTATAGCGATGGCTTTCAGCCCGACTGATTATGCCCGATCTAATTGTTTAACACCCGATGGCTTTAAGCCCGACTGATTATGCCCGATCTAATTGTTGAACACCCGATGGCTTTCAGCCCGACTGATTATGCCCGATCTAATTGTTTAACACCCGATGGCTTTCAGCCCGACTGATTATGCCCGATCTAATTGTTTAACACCCGATGGCATTGTTTAAAGCCCGATTGAATTGTTTAAAGCCCGATTGAATTGTTTAACGCCCGATTGAATTGTTTAACGCCCGATTGAATTGTTTAACGCCCGATTGTTTAAAGCCCGATTGAATTGTTTAAAGCCCGATTGAATTGTTTAACACCCAATGGCTTTCAGCCCGCTTTAATTAAACACTGTCCGATCCAATTGTATTTTTGTCCCGATCCAATTGCATTTTTGTCCCTATCCACACCTCATAAAATTGCAAAGTTTGGTTGCGAAATGTTGTAAAATGCGGAAAATATAACCTTGCAAATTTTTTATACTTTTGTATTCTAATTTCCGCACGCAATACAAATGTATACAAAATTTGCGAACTTTGCAAGGCTATATTTTCCGCACTTTACAACATTTCGCAACCAAACTTTGCAATTTTACTCATTTTAGTATGCTCTTTCCGGGAATATACTTTTTTTCCTAAAATAAAAAAGTAATCTATAATGGGAGTTGTCTATTACTAAACACCGAAAACAGGTTGGACTATTTTATATTACTATTGTAGTCACTGACATCGCTCTGACTGCAAATATGGGTGCTATTGTTGAGATCTATTGTTCAAGGATTGTCTCCCACCACAATTTCACACACCGTGCAATGGAAGCTCAGTCTGTTTACGTACAGTTGAAGAATCTTGTAGATGGAAATAATCGAGTGGAAATGTATTTTGTTTACTGTTAGTTAAAATGTTAGTGTGTTTACGTACAGTTGAAGAATCTTGTAGATGGAAATAATCGCGTGGAAATGCATTTTGTTTATACTGTTAGTTAAAATGTTATTTGTTTGCAAATTTGCTTTAGCTAAAAAGCGCCAGAAATGCAGTCCTGGAGCTTCAAAAATGTAAGAAAAATTTTGGGGCTCCCAGAGCCCCCTAATTTTCTTTGGAAACTGAGTATGATAGTGGATATCAATCAAAAAGAGCTCTATTATAATTATTACACATCATGATCAGGTAAATTTTTAACATTGAAGTTCAAATTTCAGGTAAAATCCTCTAACCTCCCCCCAACTTCAGATACTTCGCTACGCCCCTGGGGCCGGTTGTTCAAAGGTAGGTTAGCGCTAACCCTGGGTTAAAATTTAACCTGCTGTTTTAGTTTGTATATTTCTGCACGTCTGTTTATTTCAAAACTTCAGAGAAGTCAACTCTTATCGATCCAGACAAGATCTCTGAAGAAATATCTCCAAATTTATAGACAAGCTGTCAGGAAGTTTGATTTGAATTTTGCGTTAACCTAGGGATAAGCTAACCCAGTTTTGAACAACCGGCCCCTGAAGATCAGTGCAATCACCATAAAACACTGAACCTTGCAGTTGTGAGGGTATATGAAAAAGCAAACCCACAGCCATTGTGCTGAGATCATATCTACAAGTTTCGACCTTTCTTTCCAGCATTTAACAGCATGAAGTGTCAATTGAATGAGTAGCATGTTTATACTTTTATAGCTACAGTTAAATGTCGTTTTGTTTAAATTTATACCTGCATCATTTACAAAATTTCAGTCTTATGATCTGCCTTAGCTAAATATTTTGTTCTTTTTAAACACTTCGCAGATAAAAGCACGATTCAAAATCATGGTGCCGTGATGCAATAATGCATGAATTTTGGACAATTTGTTGATAATAGGTGACTGGTGATAATATTGGATAATATAGGAAGATCAGAATATGCAAATAGCAGGGCAGTACAAGTGTCAGACAAACGTTTTAGTGGTGATGACATGATAGATAGATTGGTCGGATGAGTTCATTATAAATAAAATTCCGATGCTGTTAGATCTTACAAACAATTATAAAAAAAATGTTTAAATTCTATCTAGTATTAAATATTATATTATTGAAGAACTTTGAATTTAAAGGTTTTATGAAGTCTGCGATGCCAGCAATTCAAGAAAAGCTAATAACTTTTAAACCAGATACCAGAATATATTTATAACAAGAAACCCATGCAATGAAATCTTAATGAATTACTGGATTGTTTAGACATGCATTAACAATACATCTTACTATATGGCCCTATATTTTTGTAGATGCAAATTTTGAAAAGCAATAAATTGACATCATATGCTTATTATTAAAACAAAACATTTATTAATTAAATTAAATTATGACTCAATAATATATTGTTGGCTGTACCATTGCTATCAACCATTGCTTTTAAATCGAGTGATTGTTATAGCCATTTGTTGGCATTGCAAGAAAGATGCTGCATCTGTTTTATTTTGACCATTACTCTATTGTAATTATTAATTTTGGATCACAATGAATGTTTACAACTTCGTAAAAGCTGGGTAAATGCTCTATAATACGGATTTTATTTAATTCTGCAGAATAATTTCCACGCGCTATTTTATATAAATATATGCTGAATAGGCTAGCCACATGTGCGCAGTGCGTACCTATTTTTACAGCATTTGAAACTTTGGGATATATATCCACCATGAGCAACTCATGAGAACACTATAGCATTTGTCACCGACATGAGAAATCAACTTTCAAGATGTGTGAAATATTACGTACTAAGGAATATGACAAGTAAAAATGGTATTTCCAAAAAATTGGATTTCCATTGGTGGTTAAGCGACCAAAGCAGTTTTTTTACAAACTAGTCGTTCCAGCTCCAGGTTGAAATCGAACCTGGAGCTGTCTGGCTCGTCATAGCGAAATCTAAAGTTCATCAATGATCGCGGACGCGGGTTACTGTACGTGGGTGGTCATCCTCATTGATCTCAAAACGAATAGCGAACACTGATTGGTCCAATTTAAAATTTGCATTGTAACGACTGTATGACGACAGACGACAGCGAAATAGCAAACATAATACATTTTTTGTTTGTTTTATTTGCTCTTCTAGATTATTACAAAATTTTAAAGACTTAAACCACAGAATAAGAAGGTATAGCAGAAGTGTAACTCAAGCAAGTATTTGTTTGTCCGCGTTTTTACAAGCGATTCGTCATCAATCACGCCATCCTGGCTAGTACAACCGGCATTTTATACCTACCAAAACCTGATAAAAACTTCCGGTTGTACTAGCCAGGATGGCGTGAGCGAGTTAAAATTTTCGTGAATGTAAAACAATAAGGGAATTAACTCGAGTTACACTTCTGCTGTACCTTCTTATTCTTGTGCTTGAACGTTTGTTTATTTTATCCGTTGATGTTTTTCTTGCGTCAGCTGCACGATTGCGTGATTGTCTTCGCGTGCGTTCGCATTCTGCGCGCGCTCGTTCATTGGCAATTAAACCACAGAGGAAGTATATCTTTACTATAATAATTTTGTTTGTGGAAACACCACGTAAATTTATTACTGCAAAGCTTTCAACAGTGCTAATAATATGTGACTTATTTAATTCACACGCTCTTTTTATATACAAAAGTGTAGTAATAAATTTACGTGGTGTTTCCACAAACAAAACTATATATTATGCAAACATACAAAGAACTTATTATATCTTTACTCTTTGATTAACCTATAATACGCGTCTGGCATTTCGCGGCATACATTAATGCTGTCCTTCTCGCTCTTCGTATGCCAGCTTTCCAAAAACATTCTCTGATTATAATTTGATGCGTATTCCAAGCAGGCTTCCCAATCCATTTCGTGCCTTGTTGCCATATGATGAACTGCAATACTGTTACTAGCGTGTTTATTTCGCTTATGTTCTTTGATTCGGCATTCCAAAGTTCTTCCAGTTTCCCCCAAGATAGCTAGCAGGGCAATTCTGTAGACTGTTCCCACCCGAGAACTCTTTGGTGATGAATCTTTCACTCTGGTGAGAACATCCAGTAAAGTCGTCGTAGGTTTATGGGCCACTGAGGTGTTGTAGGGTCTCAAAATCCGCGCAATTCGCTCTGACGTGCCTTTGACGTACGCCGGAATGGTGGCAATGACTTTCTTATCTTCACTCGTATTGGATATCTCATTATCTGCTGTTGGTTTGCTCACTGTGGTTTGCTGAATCGCTCGGTAACGCTGTGTACAAATGGTTTAGGGTCGTTCTTAACGTCGAAAATTTCATTCAGGCGTTGCAATTCTGTTTTAAGATCTTCACTTGAAATACAGACTAAGTGTGCTCTCTTAACCAAAGTTTTTTATAGTGGCTGATTTATGTGAGGCTGGATGGTACGACGAATTATCTAACAAACGGTCAGTATTGGTAGGTTTCCTGTACACGCTTGTTTTGAGGGTGTTGCCGGGTCTGGTGGCACGCAATTTTCCCGTTTAATTCTGGCTCAATCGTAAACTGGTTACTTGGATTCTGCTGATTTAGGTGTTCAAGAAAGTTGTTCTTTTCATCTTTGTGCAAACTTGTCATGGTGTCATCGACGTATCGGAACCAAAAAGGTGGAGGGTTGGTGTAAGTACCTAATACCTTCTCCTCCAATCGCTGGATTACCATCTCTGCTGTGACAACTGAGACTGGAGAACCCATGGCCGTGCCATGAAGTTGTTGGTAAAAATTCCCATCGTATTGGAAAAACGTAGATTGTAGACAAAGGGTAAGGATATCAATTACTTCTTTAGGGATAGGAAGCTCGTCACTGTAGTTGGCTAATGACTCTTTTACGCTTTCGATTGCTAGCTCTAAAGGGATACTGGTAAATAAAGATTTCACGTCGAAAGAAGCGAGTTCGTGATCTTCACTTAATCGCACATTCCTGATTTTGGTTACCTCCTCGGAATTGACCAAAGTAAGTCCTTGGAGATTGACTAAACGGCGGCTGGATTGCTCGGTTAATGGTTTAAGGATGTTCGCAAGATATTCCGACAGTTCATAAGTTGACGTGACAGAACGAAACGATTGGTCTCAATGGTGTATTCTCTTTGTGAATCTTGGGCAGTCCGTACAGTTTTGGAGTTTGAGCAACGGAACAGTATAACCTTGAGTATATTGGCCTCTTTAAAATGTTAGCTGTTCATTACGTTTCCGTTGTTTTTCATGAACTTTTCGACGTTAACAACTACCCTAAACCACTTGTACGCAGCGTTATCGAGCGATTCAGCAAACCAACAACAGTGGTTTGAGATAATGAGATATCCAGTACGAGTGAAGATAAGAAAGTCATTGCCACCATTCCGGCGTACGTCAAAGGCACGTCAGAGCGAATTGCGCGGATTTTGAGATCCTACAACATCTCAGTGGCCCATAAACCTACGACGACTTTACGGGATGTTCTAACCAGAGTGAAAGATCCATCACCAAATAATTCTCAGGTGGGAACAGTCTACAAAATAGCGTGCGCTGAGTGCCCAGCTAATCTTGGGGAAACTGGAAGAACTTTGGAATGCCGAATTAAAGAACATAAGCGCTGCATAGCAAATAAAGACGCTAGTAACAGCATAGGCGCCCAAAAACGCGTGCTGAACATTTTTACCCTCTCGCGTGGAGCTCGGGCGTGCATCGAGTCTACTTTGTTTATTATTATGACATATGTCATAGTAATAAACAAAGTAGACTCGATGCACGCCCGAGCGTCACGCGCGAGGGTAAAAATGGTCACCACACATTTTTGGGCTGCCTATGGTAACAGTATTGCAGTTCATCATATGGCAACAAGACACGAAATGGATTGGGAAGCCTGCTTGGAATACGCATCAAATTATAATTAGAGAATGTTTTTGGAAAGCTGTCATACGAAGAGCGAGAAGGACAGCATTAACATATACCGCGAAATGCCAGACGCGTATTATAGTTTAATTACCAATGAACGATTGTGAACGCACGCGAAGACAATCACCCAATCGTGCAGCTGACGCAAGATAAACATCGACGGATAAAATGAACAAACGTTCAAGTCTTTGAAAATGGTTTTGTGTAGGAAACCGAAACGTTAGACAAAACTTATTTAATTTTACTCACAAACTCCGGTCGAAATGTATGGGAAAACATATGGTAAGGCCTGCCTTACCGTGCTCTAACTCACATTTCAACCCTTCCGGAACCGGAAGAGAAAAGAAAGAAAAACAGGTCACATGACCCGGCATATAAATACCTCAATCCCCGGTGCCTAATCGGCTTTTTCTTCGTGCTCACTCACGCGTGTACACTCGTAAGGTAAGTTTTGTGAACTTTTTAAGCCTTTATTTCACTTTTGAGCTTCAGGTATACAGGATGCCTGATAAATCTAATCGTAAACGTCATCGTAGTGATCGTACGCCGTCTCCAAGCGAAAGATCTAGGTCAAAAGACCCAGAGAATCGAGGTCATCGACAAGATCAACACAAGCGAAGGCGGGAAAATAACATTGGCCCTGGCGTCAACGAGGAAACGACAGTTTGTGGCCTGGACCACTCGTGTAACTGCCATTGAGTCAAATTTGAACGAAAACTCTGGTACAACGTCCCAGTATTAGACAGATTTAGAAAAGACGACGCGACCTCAAAGACGACGTGGATGGCGTCATTTGGCGCCAACTATCGTCAGCTTCTCATTTGCGACGTCGCCTTGGACAATTTCACGACGCGAAAATACAATTTTCACGTCCTCTCTAGAACGTCACAGATTTATGCTTCTTTTGAAAAAAATATGAGAGTATGCATTATAAAACTCATCCTATTTTGTTCCCCAAGTATTGATTAATGATTCTAGTTAAATGTTTTTCATTGACAAGGTTGTTTTTCTCGTATTTCGCTAAATTTTGAACGTGTTAATTTTTGACAAATACTTTCGGTCGCCATAACAAATCAACAAAACTGCAAGCATTGTTAATAACCACTTCAATACCGCTAGTATTCTTCACCAAAACAAACATTTTAAAACAAACTGAAGTGAAGTTATATTAAAAACTGTTTAAAATCAGGAAAACTTGGGAAGATAGAAGAATAAAAGCAACTAAAAGCAGTAAAAACTCAATCAGTTTTAGTTGCTCTGTCACAACAGTGCGAAAAAGTAGGGGAAGTAAAAAAACGCTTTCCAGTGTGAAAAATGATCTTAAACAGTATTAAATTTTACCAATATAAGCGCTGGTGCCTTATTTATACTAAACAGTTGACAAACTTGATTGAATAGGCTACAAACTAAAGCATTTAGCTCGTAAACAATACCTGCAGCTATAGTATTTATTCCAAATGATGCAACAAAGTTCACTTTTCAAAATACCGAAATATATGTCTTTTTCTAAAAAAAACTTAATATTGAATGTTCATACTAATTCATCAGGAAACACTTGGCCAGTATTATATAGCCTTTTTCTTGCACATAACTTGACAACTGATGGAAAACAATACAGGAATGAGCAGGAAACAAGAAAACAAAAATTTGCTTCGAAAAAGACAAACAAGCCGTCCCAGATTAAAACCCGGAAGTGAACGCGAGGTGTACACGTCATTTTCACGTCGTCTTTGAGGTCGCGTCGTCTTTTCTAAATCTGTCTATTCTGGCGAATGCGACGACGATCAACTGTCAATTCCGGACTCGCCGAAGGAATTCGACAATATTGTTGTTAATTGTTAATAACAATCCCGCCATTGAGGCTCCTTTAGCTGGCTCTTTGCCACCTTTAGACGGCGTTGAGCCGACAAATATAAACGAAATCACCAACCCGAACTTTGACGTTTCTGAGGAAGAAACTTCATGCGAGTTCTTTGACCCTGAGAGTACATCTCAGCGACGATGGTCTCATTCAGATCCCTTTGTCAAATTTCTTGAGAAAAACATGCGTAGACGCCTATATATAATCGAAGAAAGTTCTCTCCCCGAAGCTGAAGCATGTGTTGCTCCTTTACTGGACAAACAGATTCTGAATTATATTCCCGCCAACCGCAAAAAATTCGTTGAACAACGAGACAAAGATTTGGCGCTTATTCAACGCACATTACTAAACTCGGCAGCGACGGCAGGTCCTCTTTGTTGTCTACATGACCGCCTCGAAAATCAGGCCAAGATTTCTAATGAGGAACTGTTAAACACCCTTCAACAATCACTATGTTTGCTGGGTTCAGCTAACCACATAGTGACAACGAATCGCCTGAAGAAAATTTTGGGAGCGATTAATCCTGATAAGGCACAATGGGAAGATCTGCCTTCCTTAGCAGCCAATCATTCCGAATTATCTCGAAGCCTTGCAAAAAACTTGCAACAGCAATGTTACAGTGCGATACCTCATTCTTCAGGAGGCAGTCCTGCGGCGTTTGTCCGCCCAGAGAACAAGTATAACTATTCAGAACCTAACCAGGTCAGGTCAGCGAGTATCTTTTTCCACAAATACTAGACCTTCGAATTTTCGCGGCAAGTGGGACCAGACAAACCGCAGCTGGTCCCAACAATAACTCGGGGAATGGCACGACTTCCTCCGTCAATTTGCCGCAGTTGGAAGGGTGAAAAGATAATAATAAATTGTCTTTTCATTTTTTTTTTTTCAATTGTGGCAAAGTTTTAATCAAGACCATAATCAGATACCGTACGGGGTTATCGATTGAATTTCCGCTCGGAACCGTGGCAAAAACTTAAAGCCATTTTTCCATTGCAGTCGCTTTGCTCGCGTGGGCGGAGCGACCAATTTTAATCTCGTGAAAAATCAGTCGCCCGGGACCGCCAAGAAAGTTGAATGTTTTTCAAATATTCGTAACCACTTAAGCAATTTTAGCTATTTGTTTGCATATCTTGTAAAATTTTTGTCCGTTGACGGTTTTATTTGTTTTTAAAAAATGAAAATTCGCGTCGCGTTGTCAAACGCGTTCGGTCTGTGTGGGCCTTAACCTGTGCATTTTTTGTCCGCCTGAATGCTCGCGGACACGCCATGAAAGTAGAACTACATAGAAAAATAGTAAAGGTAAATGGCATTGAAAATTGAAAATTCGCGTCGCGTTGCCGAATCGCGTCCGGTCTGTTTGGGCCTTAAGGCAAGTACAGAGAAAGTTGAGTAATGTTCGCTCCGCCCGCGCGGGCAAAGCGACTGCAATGGAAAATTCCCTTAAGGCCATTTTCCATTGCGGTCGCTTTGCTCGCGCGGGCGGAGCGACCAATTTTAATCACGTGAAAAATCAGTCGCGTGGGCACGTCAAGAAAGTTGAATGTATTAGTTCTACTTTCATGGCGTGTCCGCGAGCGTTCAAACGGCCAAAAAATGCACAGGATAGACAACTACAGGATAGACAACTACAGAGAAAGTTGAGCAATGTTCGCTCGGCCCGCGCAGGGAAAGCGACTGCAAAGGAAAATTGCCTTTATAGTTCCCGCGAACAAAACCCACGGTAAACTTGAACGTAATGAACGAGGCAATAACTAAACTAAATAATTACTGAACAAAGGGGCAATTATCCCCCTAAATTCTCTCCAACCGGATTTTACTGTCGCAGATTCCTATTCCTGAAAAAGGGAGGCTCATTTCGCCCACTTATAGATCTCAGTCAATTCAAAGAGAGTTCGTAATAAAAACTTGCTATGCCTATAGAATGGAAAACTTGCTATGCCTATGAGCAAAACTAATTATAAATCCACGGGATTTTATGGTCAAGTTAGACCTCAAGGACGCCTTATGCCCTTATCTAACAGTCGGTGAAATACCTGAAATTCATTTGGCAGCGCCAGGTTTATCAGTTCCAAGCCCTGCCATTTGGCCTAAACACAGCAGCACGGGTTTCCACAAAATTGCTCAGGCCAGTGATGGCATCTCTCCGCATGCGAAACATGAGACTTCCGATTTATCTAGACGACATCCATCGGGTGGCGTCAAGTCCTTTGATTTTGCGACAGCACACGAGTTCATAATCAATTTCGAGAAGTCAATTCTGACACCAACCCAGATACTAGATTTCCTAGGATTCGTAATCAATTCAGTAACTATGAAGTTTATCTACCTCCGGAGAAGAGAACGAAAACGTCTCGCCTGTGCAAATCCTTAATGAAGGAAAACCCAACATCATTACATCCTCTATCTCTATTGTTGGGCTTTCTAGAGTCTTGTCGACCAGCAGTATGGCTTGCTCCACTCCATTTTCGGCACCTTCAGTCGTGCCCGATCGAGCAAGTAGCGTTGAGCAATGGGGGTTGTCACGGCACAGTCCACCTGAGCAGACTGGCACTATGCGAACTGCAATGGTGGATTCTGAATATCCATCAGGTCAATGGAGGTCCAATTTGTCCTCCCTCATCCGAAATGATTATCACATTGGATGCCTCCAAGATGGGCTGGGAGCCACTTGTGGTAATTTTGCAACCAACGTCACACGAGGAGAGTCTCCTTCACATATATTGTTCTGGAACTAAAGATGGCATTTTTTGCAATACAATCATTCCTGAAACACCAATCAAAGAAATTAATCCAATTTTGGCAAATGTCAGAGACAGTTTAGTCTTCCTAAGCGATCAATTTGACAACAATACCGCACCATAAACGTCCTTCGTTCTTCCATATCATCTGTACATCATGGATTGATGGCAAGCCGGTTGGACAACACACTATTGCTATCCGACTAATGAAGGGCATTGCTAATAATGACCTTCTAAGCCGTAATATTCATCATGCTACCTGGGATGTGCCAGGGTAACTTCACATTTGTCTTCACTAGGGGATAATGATAAGTTATGCCTCAAATTGCTAACTAAGAAAAAAACTTCAGAGAGATCCTCTGTTCTCTCGGGTCTTGATATCCAGTTCCTGAAGAAACAGCCAGATGGTTTCACACTAACTAAACCATGATCTCTCACAACGATAGCATTCCCACGTGTTATGGAAGGCAGCACCTAATGTCTCTTGAAATGCTTGGAATCATATTGAAACGCTACAAGTGAGTTTCGGACTCCACCTGAAGGTAAAAAGTTGTTTTTCTCGACTCTACGTTTACATCGCCCTGTCTCCAAAAGTACAATTTCCAGATGGTTGTGTGACACAATAACGTCTCCTGGTATTAAGGCTCATTCCACAAGAGCAGCCTCAGCTTCAACTACTGCTAAGAAACGGCCACCACTAAAGGACATTCTTAAAATGGGTGACTGGACATATTCTTCAACGGTTTTATTACAAACCAACCATTTGACAGTTATGCGAAAACAATTCTAAAATCCTAAATATTGACGAACATAGACAACTATTGTTGAGTTTGAGTTTTCATCATGTAACCTTTATAAATTATGGTCTACTTTTTGTAGTTTATTAAAGTGGCACTTTTGTGTTTTTGGCAATTTAGTATCATTTCGTAGCTATTACGTTGAAATCTACCATATGTTTTCCCATATATTTCGACCGGAGTTTGTGAAGTATAATTTAAATTACACAAGGGCGTCTTTAGCCCGCGTGCAGGCCCAAGGGAACTGATAGTGGGCCTGCAAGCAAGGCCCGGTATTTTGTAAAACGCCCCTTTTCATAACACGCCCCATTCGCGCGTCAATTGTCAAAAAAGAACCAATGACAGCACCCAAATATTAACAGACAAACTCGCATTTTAAAATCTGCTTATTCAGAATATATTAATTAAACAATGTGTTAATGGCTGCGTTTTAACTCCAAAAAAGCAAGCAACGCAGTCAGTAATTGCCAACTAAAATCGGAACAGGCAAATTAGGACGAATTTCAACAGAAAACCAGTCTCAAACTTCTAATCGTGAGGGAAGTCGTGCGACCACATTAGCATTTATAATAGAGAGTTTAAGATCTACGACGCGGCCGGCTCAACGACGCGGTCTGAGTTTCAGCTAAAAAATGAACGCGTTGCTTGAAAGACGTGATAATGCTTAGTTTAACGTTCTGCTGAGCATGACAAAGCCATTAAGAATACCCCTGGGACCACAAATTTATTCAGTTTTTGTCTTGCATGACAGATTTCTTTCTTTCGCAAGCGCGTCGTTGAGCCGGCCGCGTCGTAGATCTTAAACTAGGGAGTTTACGATGTACGACGCGGTCAGCTCGACGACGTCGAGGCAAATTATGCTTGAAATAATCCACAGGAATTTAACTATACTGCTTTAATTGTCTAAAGCATGTTTTAATAATCTTACAAATGTTTAAATTTGACTAAACTACTCCGATCTTTAGCTAATGTTGTCATTCTGTCAACGTTATAAAACAGCTCCTATGTCGCAACGAGCTTTCATATCGCTAGGAAGCCGCAAAAATTACTCGTTTGACGGTGTCCCAAGAATGGCAACGCTGTTGACAAAACATTTGAATTTACAAATTATTCATCCCTTTTGTCTCGCATGACGTGTTTCTTTGTCTTGCAAGCGCGTCGTCGAGCTGGCCGCGTCGTGAATCGTAAACTCTCTAATTTCTTGTTGGCGGCGGAAAGTACGAAATTTATTTCAGTTATTTCATTTGGTAAAGAACTCTACAAAAGAAGAGAGCGTTCAGAGTCCAGATCGTTTCGTTTCAAACGGCAATTTAATACCGTCTTCTGTTTCGCTCTCTCAGCGAAGCCTTGTAAATCGCAAAGTGTTTCGAATAGGCTTACATGCAACTGCATTCAACATAGCCAAAAGATCATTTTCTTAAGGAACATATAACGTATCAAGTCTGTTTGAAATTAATGAAACTCAAGTGTAAAGGTTACTATAGTTTAGCCCAGTCGTAATGTTGCTATTCCAACACCTCACGACAAGCAATCCCCATTGGCATAACGGCAAAAACATTTCTTCCTTCAAGTAAACAATAAACAGTCTGTTCTTGTTCCATTTGTAATCGAAAAAAGTGATCAATTTTCGAATTTTAAGCTTATCGAGAGAATATCGAGAGCCTTTGTGATGAATCACTGACCTAATTATAGAATCCAACAGCAAACAGCCAATCAGAATGCCGCGTTCGTGGGCGAACGCGGAAAGTACAAAATACCGGGCCTTGCTTGCAGGCTCACTATCAGTTCCCTTGGGCCTGGACGCGGGCTACGGCGTCTTAGGCCTGTTAGTGTGATTATGATTATACGAGCAAACGAATGGAGAAATGTATGGGCCCACCCTTTACCATCAAGCGGCGTTTCTCCGTTACCCTGTTTCTTTTTACAGACTTGTTGAAAATAGCCGAATAGGCACCGGGGGATTGACGTATTTATATGCCGGGTCATGTGACCTATTCTTTTCTTTCTTTTTTCTTCCGGTTCCGGAAGGGTTGAAACGTGAGTTAGAGCACGGTAAGGCAGGCCTTACCATATGTTTTCCCATATATTTCTCCCTTCGTTTGCTGGTATAATCATAATTACACTAAGAGGCCTTTGTGTAATTTAAGTTTTGTAATAACCTAGAAGAACAAATAAAACAAACAATGAACCTGGATTCAAACCTCTTCACGGATAAGAACATTTCTTTATTTCTTGCAAATATATTTCATTTTTGCAAGATTTTGTAAATTTCAAAAGCTTTTTGAGAAAAATGGCGAAAGAATTGCGAAAAGAAGGGAGCAAAGACGCCCATGTTAATGAAAGTAAGTTTTGATATTTGTGTGTGTTGGTGTTATGTACTCAGGTATGTTTGTGATGTTACTCTGAGTGTGCATCCACACCGGGCAAGCTGAAAAGTTAATTGCTTGGCCACGGTGGGAATCGAACCCGCGACCTTTGGGATACGTATTGTTTGCTTTATAATTGCTTCGTATGATGTTTGTGATGTTACTCTGAGTGTGCATCCACACCGGGCAAGCTGAAAATAATTGCTTCGGAAATTTTACACTTTACCGTATCGGAGTAAATCACTGAACACATACGCCTTCAAAACAAGCGATAAAAGAACGGGAAAACCCGCCATCAGAACACACGCCATCAAATACTTGCGGTACACGGGTACGGTAAACTGTAAAGTACCCATTTCTTTAAAAGCTTATCGTTATGTATATTTTAAATGAAAAAAGATGGCATATAATTTCAGTGTATCTTTATTGATTACCCTTTTTTTATTATATTAAATTTTTTAAATAATAAAGCAAAGTTATTTGCATGCCAGAATTTGAAATCATTTTATTGAAAACTCAAAGTTTATCGATAAAGGCAGTTTAGTTTTATAAAGAACATTTAAAACGTCATGCGAAGCGT